CCCCAAAACCCCAAAACCCCAAAACCCCAAAACCCCGTGGTGAGGGAAGATTGATAAAGGAACAAATTTACAATAATTAATTTACATAATGAAAACTAATCTAAAATCTTTCCATGAGCTATCGCCAATCAATGATTGAATGCGAAATTACATTGTTGATTACATTTATCATGGAAATATCTTTGCAGGAATTGCTGCAGCTAATAACCAATTTGTAAGCCTGATTTCTTGATATAAAGGTTGCTCTCTCCTTGCTAGGACTCTTAGACCAAGCAGGAGGAATTGCCATCCTTCTAAATTATTAATCAAAATGAATGCAGTCTCTAACGAATAATATAGACCTTGTCCAAATGCAATTTTAATTGCAGTGAATTCCAAGAGAAGTCAAGTGATTTGCATAAAAATTGCTTGGATCACCAGCACAAATCTCCAGATTACCAAAAGAGCAAAAATGCTGAAGGTTCAGATGTGAAACAGTTATCGTTATTCCTGAAGACACCCAACAAAAATAAGAGTGAACACGAATCAGAAGATCTGAGCTCATGAGGCCAGACACTGGAAAATAAAGGTGTCTTAAACACCTCTAAAGATACTTGCCATGAGCATGATCCAGACACGTTGTTTTCTGACCCAAGTACTGATTCTGCCTTGGCTTCAATTTCTAAAGGCCTATTAGAACCCACATCAAAAACCTCAATTTCCTCGCTATTCAGCCAGCCATCTTCAAGCTCTGAGAGGAAAGATGTATGCTATAAGGCTGCTTTGAGATTATTCAGAAGGTTTTTCAAGAAGACCTTCAAGGCTTGCAATCAAGATATGTATAAAAGAAGATTCAGTAATTACACCATTGATGATATTTATCAACAAGTTTGTTTGATGTTAATGAAACTTGTTCCAGCCGAGTACATCACCCAAGACCTCGTATATTTTACTATTGGGATTATTGGAGCGAAGAAGGCTTCCCAACTGCCATGCCGCGATTCAATTAAGAGTCAAATCACTACAATACAAGCATGATGTAAAAATTTCTCGAGAAAAAAATTCAATAGAATCATGGCCTCTAAGAGTTTAAGAGTCTTGACAATGAGCTTCACTGATAAGATAGATGATCCAAGAGTGAGTATCCTCAGAGAGGAATTAGAATAAATACAATTATTCAGATCAAGCCACTAAACTGAAGGTTTTTACTCATATTTTTGCCTTCTTCAAATTTGAAGCAAAAATTATCGTTTTAGTTGGCTAAATAAGATAAAGCGTACGCAGAACGGTTTCATAATAATTGATCCTAAAATTGTCACCCATACTTCGTAATTTTGGTTTATTGGCTTTTCTTGCCCTAAGCAGGCTTCTTTGGGTTAGCTTGACCTAGTCTCCATGAGTTGCTGAGTATGCAAGAATCCTGGCTTTCTAAAATGGGTCAACAGTAAAGCAAACATATGATCCCACCGCGATGATAGCTTTAGATTCTTGGGGAAGCTTCAAACCTACTCTTGCCCATCCAATGGCTCTATTGATTACTTATAGCTATTATTAACAAGGTATAAAAGTGTAATAAAGATTTCTATAAGTATTCACCTGGGTTCTATTCAGACATATATACTTAAGTCTCCTAATAATCTCTGAATTTTTGAACATATTTAAACCGATATTTTAAGCAAAATTTTGATGCAAATTATGAATGGCAACTTATGCGTTGACGTTCCAAACTTAACAAAATGTTATCAATCGTTGCTTACTTATAACTTAATAATTCTTAGATTATTAAATTTGTTGTAAAACATAAAACTTCCTGATTTATTTCCTGTTCTTGTCTTCTAGTAAACTGGGAAATTAGCAGGCAGCTCTGCTTATAAACTTAAGGACTCTGAAATACCTGAAAATGTATGCAAGAGCTTGCAGCATCATGTTGCGCTTCATTGAGCATTATATTTACTAAGAGTACCAATCAGATAATTTAGAATTAAAAGTGACTAATTGAGAAATATTTCAAGAGGCCAGATGATAAAAAGTATCCTCAGGCCCCTGAGACTTGAAAGGAATCTGATGAAGAGGCATAGCTTATCAAGAACAAACCGGAGGACTGATAGTAAAGGTATACTATACCAATTCCCTACTATCCATGCTTATCAATGGCATTAATAGCAGAATTGGGAATCTATGACTTAGTAGCCCAGTCCAATATTTCCAAGTTTGCGGCCGGATTACTAAAACATTGAACAAAGTTGATTGTAAAAACTGTTTTCATATATGAATTTAGAGGGAACTAAGCTCATCTCTCCTGACAAACTAGTTGGTATTATTATGGATGATTTTAATATTTTCTGCGCGGTGAGCTACTTATTTTTCAACAGGATTTATTATTACTTATACCGAAAACCTTTAAGTACTCTCCTTCGGTTAACTTATAGAATCTAGGAGTTCTTTGGCATTTATAAGCAAGTAATAACCATAGAGTAATTTGAGGGCAACCTTTTTGGATGACGATGTTGAAAAACCATATTCTCTAGAAAATACGCCATAAATAGCTCTCATGGAAGAAAAATGAAGACACAAGACAAATCTTATCAAATAGATTTGAATTCTAGAAATAATTGATTCAAAATAAACAGAAGGAGTCTGTTTTAGAAATTCCAGAGCTTAAGAGAAGAACCAGTTATTAAAATCCAACTAAATAATTTGCAACAACAATGCTTGAGAATTGTGTTTTAGGGCCAAATTAAGGAAAAACTGGAGGCTTATGAATATGTCAACCACTGAGAACTACAAGTTGCACTCATATCTCTTGCTAGTTATTTTTAGTTCTTTGGAAGAGGCAAATTTGTAATTTGGTTTTCTGATCTCCCGTTCTTATTCAAAATTTCCACTCAAAGTTTGATAGAATAAATTAGCTGATATCATGAATTGGAGAAGTCTTTATATGATATCTAAGAGACTCACAGTACTATTTTTGACCCAAACTTAATATTATGAGTGTTTTAAGTAGAGTCTCTTAATCTTAAATGCAACCAAAAGTATTGGGTCAATAATCACAATCTGGAAAATTTGATTAAATCTGTAACTAAATAAACAGTCCAAGTTAGAGCATCAGCGCAACCAAATTAACTTAGAAATATTTTATCTAAATGCTATTATCTACTATCCTTGCTTTCTAGATATCCCCAAGAGGCGTCATTAATTCTTTTGGAGAGGCAACCCTACCATCTGAGGTCGGTTTCTTAATTTCGTGGTTTATATTCTTCTCTATTTTGGTGCAAACTTTATCATGAAAGTTAATAATAGATATAAATTTTACAAAAGTGGAGGCTTCATAGCAATAAATGAATGGCCCACATCAGAATTTGAGAGACTCATTTGATGTTTATTTTGTTTTAGAGACTGAATTAGGAGCACCAAAGGTGCTAATATTATTACCCATATGTGTTAACAAACTTTTCATATTAAATTGTGCAGAGTATGCTCACCTACATTAAAGAAATTTAGAGAAATATATTTGTAATTCTTCATAAAATCTGATGTGTATTTCTCATAAGAAATATGAAGAAAAAATATTATCTTAAATATTGATAATCTTTGCATTTATTTGATATTTATACTAAATTACTAAACACCACCGAGTTTCAAATGCTCTCCAAGTTTTAATAAAAATGGCGAGGCTTTGTCTCCCAAAAGAGATTCTTTAACGTGAAAGGCTGATTCATCTCAAATTTATCCAAATCAAGCTCGCTACAAATCTCATATGCCAAATACCTACTTTCAAACTCAAATTTCTCCTCTAAAAGCTTCTAACTTGCCATTTAACCTCAATTCATTCATTTTCAATTTTCAAAAGCACTGGTTCAACCACCATATTTAATATTGGGGTTTTGGGGTTTTGGGGTTTTGGGG